GGAAACTGCCTTGACTGAAAATTGACTGAATGAGATTTAATTGTCACAATTTACTGTTTTTATTTAATTTGCGGTAAAGAGATTGGGGGAGAGAAGAGTGTGGGTCCGGAGAAAGTATTTATTTATTTATTATAATAAATATAGATTTCTAGTGCGAGAGGGGGGGGGGGGTGAGGCAATGGAAGGATAAGAGAATAAGAATAACAGGTTTAAATGAGATGTAGAGTATACACTGTACTATATGTTATACCCACTCCAGGTTTGTGTGAAATGTACATTGACTGTATATGTATGTTGTCTGTGATATTATAGATTCAACTTATGCATGTTCATCTAGTCTCTGTGAGGGTATATTTATTAGACTTGGGCCGACTTTGTGGGAGGGGCCGGTGTCTGTGGCGAATTGAGGTGCGCTGATGTTACCAATCCTAATGTATTATTTCACCAACTACTGTGTTGACAATATAGTTGTTTATTACATCCGCGTAGTCGATATATTTAATCCTTCTAATGTATGTGTACGCAACACGCACAGTACAGCTGTGACGTAATCTTTGTCAATTTGTTTACTACACAATTGTCTAATAAAAGGACATCATTTTTATGTCTTTTTAATGTGGGGCGGAATGCTACATTCCAGCTAATGCTAATTCGTTTTATTTTGATTTTGCCGAAATTAAATACTTAATTTTCAGCAATAATCTGACTTGACGAACAGCTTTACCGATGTTCTGACTTTAATATACATGTAAAATTGTGTTGCTTGCAAAGTAAATAAGTATAATACTTGTACACTTAAGCTGAGAACATGAAAATGTGAAATAAAATAAATTACAACGCTGATTGTTATGTGTGCGTGTGTGTGTGTGTATGTGTGTGTTATTACAGTGTACATAAAGTTATCAAGTGAAATATTCATGCCGCCAACCACAACTTAGCTTCGATTTGATAGTGAATAATGTCGATTATAATGTCACGATGTCGCCGTATAATCGATGTGTGGTTGACTTGAACTCTCTGTTTCTTATCTTAAAATGTATTAAAAAGCAAATATTCCAAAGGCATGGGAGAATACATTAATAACCATGCTTGTCAATTCAATAGTATAGAATATATATATTGCGTAAACATGTCAAGTCAGTTGACATATTAAATATATGTTTTATACTATAAGTAGCGCAGGTTTGCTTTTAATCATCACTGTGCATATTGTCAGCATTGTAAAACTGTAATGTTTTTTTCTGCTCATCACTCCAATGTTCACTTACACAAAAAAGGTATATATTGCACTTTAAGTTTGCAAGAACCACTGACAACCGGGTTTGGGTTTGGGTTTGGGTTTGGGTTTGTGTTTGCTAGGGGACCACCTTCTTTGGCCCGAGCTAGAATACAATGTAACCGTGTTATAGCTATATGTAACTCAGGGCGTTGATATTTTTGAATTGTCGATTCTCTGTCCCAAGGGCGGGAGGGAAGGAGAATAAATGCTTGAATAGGGAGAGTAGGAGCTAGTGATTTGCCAGAGATTACTGTCAGTGAATACCCTTGTCTCCGCGACAAGACACAGGTAGTCAATCTCAGGGATGAGTGACAAGGAAACCACTCACCCTGTGCTCAATTTTGCTTGCTAATGTAACACAGTTGTATTTCCCTTTTTACCCAGGCAAGGACTACTTTAGAAGTAAAGGGTAGAAACAAATGAGCGTCCATGCTATCCCAGAGCCAGCATTTTCAGCAAATTTCAGTATTTTCGTCAGATCTCTAGAGATTATCAAATCAAATATGTCAATATTGTTTATCTTAGCTTTAGTTGGTCATAGTCCAAAATAAGTATCACATTCCTAGGTGATTATTTAGGTGCCGAATCCACTTCATATTGAATGTGTGGTATATGATATGGTGTTGTCACCGCCGTTTAATTAGTATGACATAGGGTGTTATTGTTTGAAATAGAAATCTCAGTTCAAGCTTTTCATGTTTCATAGCACTGCCACTAACTGTTATGAAGATATTACTTGGATAGGTGCCTGACAATCACAATCACAACTTTTGATGACAAATCCTCACAACACTAATATGTTAGGCCAAAAAAACCAAAAAACAAACTTATTTTGCCCTCAAGTCGGAAAATTGAAAAATTGGGTCGGTCGGTCGGATTTTCTTTTAAACTCGTGAAAACTAAGGGTATCGTAAATAGCCGAGGTATATGGGAAAAAACGCGACCCGATATTTCATATTTTTCGGTCGGTCGCGGAGAGCAACCAAACAATTTGTTTTGGCCTTATAGTGATAAAGCCTCACAATAACCTCACTACCACGAGAGCTATAACAACAGATGGTTTCAGCTAATATGAATGTGACTGGTTGAGATGAGTAGTACCCGGATCTAATCGCTCAATCCTCACATCCTGCCAGCTTGGTAAGCCTACCTTGTAATGTTGTATGTGGTAGCAGGGGGCTAGGGTTTGATTGCCCCAATTATCTAGTGCACCACTCCAATCTTATGAGTAGTCTACTGATTATTTGACAAAATGATATGTATTTGTATCCACAGATTTATGGAAACGATATTATATGGCAAATTTTTAAATTAACAGTAAATCGAAAACTTTCGCACAAACTGCCCGATTTTAAGATTAGTTGCAAAAAACGCTCTCCAGAAATCTCAACTTGTTATTTTCTCCATTTCTTTGTGTTTGAAATGCTTACAATGAATCGTAACAGTCTGTCTGCGAGCTAACAAAGCTCCGCTATCGAATGCGATCATATTGCGGAAAACAAAATATTCCGTAGTACGGTTCGCCATATCTGTAGTGCAACCTTATTGGTCTAAAATATGAATGTCTTAAATTGAAATAAATATTTCAAATAATATCACCACGCCATCCAACTAACGGACGACGACAGCACTTACCCGTGATAATTTCTCATGCATTCAGTTTGAAATGAATTCAAATTATGAACATTGTAACGCATGAAATGTCATCAAAAGTTCATCTTAGGTGACAGACCAGTTCAACCCACACAACGGTTCGCTGTGTTACATATTCAGCACTGCACTATTTCATTATGAATAATGCATGTATATCGATTTCTGTTCTCCTCTCGATTTGTTGTTTTAACAATATTTCGTCTCATAGTTAAAGGACGACTAACATGACACTAACTGTAGCTAACAGCATCCACGGGTACCGTAGCGCCTTGAACGTTAATTAAAACCGAAACAGGGCAATTGAAATCGTACTGTTTTACACAAAAAAAAAACAAAAACAAAAAACAAAAAGAACATTGCCAAGCTTCCAAATGTCTCGCTGATTACATTGTACTTATTTTTCACTACAAATTCCGATACGCGCGTATGCTACTTAATTCCATATGGGCAGACTAACAATAAGCTACAGTTCATGTATAATCGAACTCTTTATCGTCATAGATCACCTGCTTAGTCAGTTTTTTTATTTGATTGATTTGTGAACTTCCTCGCACAAGAAATGACAAGCCACAGGTATCCATAGATGTGTGCAGTAACCAGCTGGTGTGGAAAAAGTGAAGTTACTGAATAATGTAATGATATGCTGAACTCTGAATGCAATCCATGACTAGTCAACTACAGTACAGAAATATATCTAATATCAAGTGTCTTTTGATTAATCCTGTTATTGGTTGAGGACATATTAATCACGCGGGTCATACAGGTAGACTAGTTTTAGTACTGGCCAAGATATTCCTCAACTCATGGCACCATTTCTACTAATACATAAAATCCGTTTATAGTTCTCTATGACAATTCTAACTCTTCATTGTCTGACCTGCGTCTCTATAAGTTTAACTTGGCTGGAGATTTGGGTCAATCAAAATTATCCATGATACATACCAGCCGCCACGTACATCATCACACTTTTCAACTTGGCGGGATGTGGGCATTGAAGCGATTCGATGGGGCTACTATTAATCTCATCCATTCATTCATCCTCGGCTAAGCTAAGATCAGCTGTTGCTATCATTCTTGCCAACACATACAACATCCCCGAACAACATCACATAATAAAGAAGGCTTACGAACATGGCAGGATGTGAGGATTGGAGCGATTTGATGAGGATACTACGCATCTCATCCATTCATGCTCGGCTCAGCTAAGATCAGCTGTTGCTATAATTCTTAATATAGCGAGGTTATCGCGATGCGTTATTACTAAGCTATTAGCAGTTATGATTGTGAGGAGAAAAGAATTTATTTTAACTGCGAGGGTATTGCGTAAATGGAAACGGTCCCTGGCCATTGACGAAGAAGCTACACATTACGACCTCATAATTTCTTCGTATAACAGTTCTTCGTATTAATAGTGCATCATGTTTAGGTTAATATATGAAAACGCTTACACCAAAACTACTATTTTAAACAATAATTCCATGTTATACTAATTAAACGGCGACGACGACATAACATCATGATAATCACATATGAAATGAATTCAAAACCTAGATAATGATATGAATGTCATCAAAAGTCCATCTTAGATAACTGAGCAGTGCAATTCTCTCAACAGCTCGTATTTTAATATATTTATTCTATTGTGATCTATTTATTATATTACATCGACATAATATGACATCTATCATGCAGAGTTAATTGTTCTTCGATTCCATCATGTCTCATGTCGACTAAACTGTGTAGATCTATAGACTGTCCTAGGGAAATATATTTTTTATAATTGTGCGACTGTGCAGAAGAAGGCTTACCGTGTATGATTATTCAAACAATCGCTAAAACAGATGAAATGTCAAAAAACGTTCGTCAGAGGTATCAGACCAATTTAATCCATGCAGCAGACCGTGTTTTATACAATACCACGCGTTCTTATTGATAACACAATACACGCATAGTACACGATGTCCTTTCTCTTACGGATTACGTCATGTCTATCTCCATACATAGTAGTTGATCTTTCTCTATAAATTGACACAGGACAACATATAATTTATACATCGTGCAATTCCTCAGTAGAAAGCTTGACCGGTGTACCAATTCACGCATTCAAGGTATGTCATTTTATTACGCCATTGCATTGGTGCGCACTGTGTTCTAATTTCGGTGGTTACATGTTGATATACAAATAGTTTGTTTTGGTACTTTGGCATTATGATATAGTCCTATTGACAGTTCATTATCAAATACACATTGCTATAAACCAGGCGAAATGACCGGATACATGACTGAACGGTTTGGTTGCTTACAGCCGTCTGCAAATAAATAACTCAACCGTTGTAATAACCTGATAGCGAAACATCGATATTATGATTAGCGAGTATTTAATATATCTCATTTTTTATTTGGAACAATCTATCACTTTAAATAATTAATTCGGTATTCTTAATGGAATAAATATATCACACGTGGATTCCATTGTTTCACAGATTTTGATATTTTCAGGATGTCGTTTGTTGTATTACGATGCTTGTTAGTCGCCTCCATATTGACACTGGCCACGTGCAATGAGGTAATGTCATTATTTCCATTTATTTGTATCAATGTTGTCATGGAAACACAACAAGAACAACAAATGTGAATATGTCAAGTATATCAACATCATTTTATTCATATTTTTGTTTGTTCAGGATGGACGTTCTAAATGGGTTTTCCCCAAACAAACTCGTAAGTTACGACTTTTGTTTACACAAAGCTACTGCATGTGACATGATTACTGACTATGTATATCTTCTGTTATGTGTAACAGTTTAAGATTTTGATTCAAATTTAAGATTTTCACGATATGTAATTAATCATCACATAATTGTTATTTTGGTGTGACATGGTACTGTTATTTTCACCCTTTGAGAAACTGTTTATGTTGTGTGATGACAATTTAAACAAACTACCATCATGTTCCCAAATTTGTTTAAATCTAATTCATTGCAAGTAGAACCCAGATATACTTGCATAAAAATGTGTATATGAAGAATATCCATTGTCGCTCAAATATTGAGATGGAGTGTCGAGAATCATTCTTATATTTTTTATATGAAAAATGTAGTTTCCTTTAAAATGACCATATTGCTACGTGCAATATTTATATTTGCTATATATATTTTCTATGTCATCTTTACCGAGTCTTTTATTATTTTCTCAGGTACTGAACAAGCCTGCCCTTGTAAGTATGACAAATATTGTTTTTCCAACCTAACCTGATTGTTTAATTCTCCTGTTGTCTGAATATATATTTAAACTCATTCTATTTCGCATTGTAGCAACTTCATATTCTGCCCTAGTTGCGGCTGAGCCCGATACTTCTGTTAATGTGATGTGCCGAAGTTGGTGTAAATCTGATGAAACAGAAATATGTGACTATCATAAAAGTGTCCTACCCTGTGGTACCTCTTATGACAAATTAGGATGCAAGTGTTGCGCTAGTGATAACGGTAGGCTCTTGTCAACAAATAAACTTGTTTCATATAGCGGTTATCACACTTTTTAGTCAGTGGCACTGAATATACTACTTGAAACTGATAAAAAAATTAACAACTCATCGCCACAATTGGATTCTCATTTTGTTCCAGATCTGAAAACGAAGGTAGATTACGGATTTAATGTATGCAGTTGGTTTTGTCGTAAGTTATGAATATATTATCTCAACAAACTTAGTTATAATGTAATACCTTAACGTAATATATATGATTTTGTCGGTATGAAATATTGTACACCACGTACACGTAATATAACATCATGAATATTTGGTCCTTGAAAGACATCTATCCATATGCACACACGATCGAGGAATGCAGACGTCATGAAAATCTGAGCGCATATAATCTAGAACGAAATATTTGACAAACTAAATAATGTTGCTTTCAAATTGCAGACAGCGATTGCCAAAAAGCTGGAGGAGTGTGTAGAATGTTCAAATGTAAAGACAACGAGCGCATAGGAAAACAAGCAACCTGTCATTTGCCCTGGTTGTGCAAATGTTGCAAACGTAAGAATGATACGTATATTTAAATACACGTTATATCGAAATACTACAGCATATTATTTTTAAATTCTACCTAATAATACTGTTATTATAACTATTTCTCATTTTGTTTCAGCGGACCCCAGTAAGTTGGTTTGTATACTAGATGCTCTTATAACAAAATTACTTTGGGTATTAGTTGTGATAAGTATAAATTATTTGATCAACTAGAAACTAGCTATAATATATATAACCAGAGGAACATTACTTGGGGTTTGCAACTACGGTGACATGATACCAAGACCCCGTTACAATCTCGCGCTCGCATAAGCGTTCCAACTCAGAAAAATGCGAATGCGCATTCCCGAGGTAACTAGAATACTGGGATGTCCAGGTGGATCAAAATAGCTGCTCACGATATGACGCATTACGATAACCATAACCATACCTGTACATTTTCGATGTATTCAATTTTTTCACTATGAATGTGATAATACATGTTTTATTGTTTTATTACAAACCGCCTATGTCATGTCAGAAGGTAGTAGCATCAGTCTCGCTATCTTCGAGATGATACTTGAATGGGATCTTGACATGATGTCACCATACAGTACTATGTGTGTTGCAAACCCCAAGTAATGTACCTCTGATATAACTTATTGGTCTAAGATGAAACCTCTAGTACACGTTGAATTCACTTTAAGTGTTGTTATGCAAGATTCTCGAAATATTACGCAGTTCTGTCAAAAAGAAGTATTCAGTAATGTAATGAAAACAACGTTTTATTACAGCAACAGCACCGTACATGGGGCCAACAAAAGTATCCCCTAGTGCACAAGCTGATCCACAATTTCGTACATTCGACGGCTTTCATTTCATGTACAACGGCAACAGTGATTGCGAGTACGTATTCTTTCAAGAGTGTGTGCCTCGTCCATCATTCACTGTTTTGCTCCGGGTCCATCACCTCAAGGAAGTTATGAAAATGGTGGTTACTGAAGTTTCGATTGTTTTCAATGGTGACCGTGTTACCTTGATTGAAGACAGGTTTTACGTGAGTAGATTCCATTCCTCTCTATTGCTGTTGTACGCTTGTCAGAAATGTTGTTCCGTTACTCCTATCGTGGCAGAATAATCACAACATGACAACACAATTCAGATGAGAGATGAACAGCGCTGCTATAATCCTACGCAATGTAACAATCAGTTCCCTTGGATGTCCCAATTGTTTTATTGTTTAATATTTACTAATGTGAATTAATTTGCAAAATTCTGAGCCGGACCCAAGATTAAAACAAATCATTCCAAAAACAAGTCTATCATCGAATCTAACTGGTCTCCAGCATTGAATATTGAATTGTTTCTAATATAATCCTGAAGGTTTATTTTTTACAATTGAATGTGGATAGTGTCAAATTAATAGTGCGTCTGACAGTTATCATTTCCGTGCAATGAAAACACCGACGATTTTAGTACGTCCAATATTCCCTTTACATTTGTAATTGTTTGGTTTATGTAACGTTTACAATCTTACCTGGACTATTTTTACGGAATTGTAGTTGCCCTCGTGCTCATCCATTGCATTTGCTTATCACTCACAACACGCTTTCCAAAGCCACCCAGGTAACCTCATTTATTTATGAGTTCGAATTGTCGTGTGAGAAAGTGGTTATTTGTAGAAATTGGTGCATTGTATAATAACTGTTTTCAATTGTTGCAATAAATTAGAATCCAGTGTGTACAAGCATATTGAAATACAAATCCGCATCGGCTTATACATTTTGAATGTCATTTCCAGATTAATGGCAAAATCCACAATCTTCTGACTCCACTGATATTCGGGAATCTGACAGTGACACGAGATAATGCAGGATATGTGAGAGCAAAACTGGATTCAACATTTACATTGACATGGAACGGCAAGGGGCGCGTTGCTCCTGTTCTGAACCAAGATTTGTTCGGAAAAGTGTGTGGCTTGATGGGAAATGCTGACGGGGATCCGTCTAATGATATGCAGATACCGATGCCTGATGGGACACTGAAATTAGTTACTGAGTCTGATGAATTTGGAGACAAGTGGATTGTTCCAGGAAGGTAAAGGCATAAATAAAACAACTAATTATTGAAGTATAGATGTTATATATTACTTCGCCAACACTCGGAATTCTACAATTTTGTATTTGCATTTTCAAAATTTAGATATCGTTAGCTGAACAGTGTTTATATTGTAGAGCTAGACAACAAGTGGGACATATTAAAAAATATTTTAAATTAAAAGAAATAAACAAGATAATCAAGACACCAACATATTGTGAAGATTTCACAAAAAAAAAAACATAGCAAGCTTTTTGGAGCTATTCAAGTTTGCACTTACCCGATCAGTTGTAAAACTCGGCCTTGCATAATCAGTTCGTGCACATTTTACAGACACTTTTAAAAAAAGTGAATGAACTCTGAAAAGTCAGGCATATTAACGATTTGTAAAGTGATACTTATAATACATCATGGGAAGATTCCGGTATCAACTTTCTCAAACAAATTATACATTACATTATTTAATAATAGCATTGCAAATTGCGCAGAAGGTTTGACAAAAATGCATTGTTGTACATTGTTGTTTTAAGTCGTTTTGTGGTAGAGCGCCAATATTACGTTGCTATATAATTTGTCATATTAACAAATATCCAAAAGACTAAATTTGACAAATTCCTATTTCAGTAGAATGTAAGTAGTATTTTTTCCAACACGTCCTCTGTTGGCACTGCCATGTCTACAAGCAATGACAATTTACTGTTTGTTCTCTCTATAGTTGCAGTATATAATCCGAAAGGACGACGTTGATGTTGAGAAAATCTACAATGACATATTCAACGTTGGTGACGGGTCTTTGGTTTAAATTATTCGTATGTAAAATACGCGTAATAAGTAATGTATACATTATGTTTTAGCGGTAATAAAATACAGTTACATGAAAATGCATTTTGTAATTATTGGACGTGTATGTGTGTGTTAAAATGAAAGTCATATCGTAATATTATAACCAATTCAAATGGCTCCGAAACATTTATATTTTAAATTTAACAATTTAAGAAAGAAGTATGTGTCCTGGCAGCAGAAAGCGTTCATTTTGTACCTCCAATCCAACCCTAATTCAGCGCTTCAAAATTGAATTATGTATGACCCTATCAAGGACACCTATAATTATCTAGAGGGGCATATGCAATTGAATTGAGGGCCTGGGGCGAGGGGTTATAGTTAGGAATAGGGGTGGGGGTTCAAAAAGAACTAAGGCTTAATGTATGATGAAATTGTTTGCACGTATCTGTTAATCGACTTAATTAGCTGATTACTAGCGGATGGCTGTGTTATGTCTGTCATCGTTTAGGCCCATGCGAGGTTCTGGACGGAACTTGGTTTAGTGATTTGGAACTAATTACGATATAACCGTCGGTATTCGGACTACTATTTCTGGCAGTTGGTATTCGCAGTTATTAATGTAGTGAACGATTAATCAAAATATATGACGTGTTCAGTAATTAGTGTGATTGGTTGAATGTGTGAAGGTTACGCCCTAGAGTCTTTAAACTGCTTTGTAAATGGTTTAGGTTTTGAAAGTGAATAAAGAGTTTTTAGTTGGTCTTGGCGAGTACCCCAGGACAGACGCAGTCTTGGGGCAGTCTTGACGCAGTCTAGAAAGTCTTGGGTCAGTCTTGCGATAGTCTTGGGGACTTTTTCCCAGGGCGCTGTGTCTTATAGAGTGCTTGACTGACCGACTAAGACGAGAGTTGAAACGTATTTCGTTGTGTGTGTATTATTTGACTGTAAAGTTTAAGTGACTTTCCCGATCCCGTACCTCAAGGGGACGTGACATAGAGACGAGACGATATTCCCCCCTTAAACGTGTGGAGAACCTCAGAGAGAAGATATTCCCCCTGATAAATGTATCAACACACTGTATCCCGTCATCGCAATCCTGAATACAATTTACTAATATAAAATACATTAAATTCAATTTAAATTGTATAGAACTACTATTTTAACTACAATATTTGAACTGTGATTCAACTATAAAATTAAATTCACATGACATTGAATTTACTTGAGCTGGATAGCTTGTATAAATATTTGTGTTGTTTTATGTTATAATTGATATTGCTAACGTGGTCAAAATAATAGAATATTATTAAGTTATATTAAATTAGTACCAGCTTAAATTTGTCAATGCAAAACAAGTAGTTGCATCACATAACCCCATCCCCCAAAGTAGGCAAATGTTCTTGTTCATATTTTGTCATCGTCCGAATCGCACGGTTTCGCTAATACCGGCCATTCATAACCGGCCCACGAACCTGTACGTGATCGTGTTAGGAAAAACTGTATTTCACTGCAGTTAAATTGAGTCATTTGATTGGGCGCGCCAAGAAGCTGGCGCCACCAATCAGCTTTGCTGTATCATAAATTTTGATGGTCAGTAAACTAGTTCATAGTTCGTTGATTTAAATATTCCACTATTTTGATTTTACCAAGTAGTAGTATGTGTCGTTTCTATTGTGAGTTCTGATTGGGTAATGCAAATGAGCCCGAGTGAATCTTATAATTGCTTGAGGGCGTGCGACATACAGTAAATTGTGATGAAATCTGCCAAGGATTAATGTTGAGACTTTGGCCGAATAAATGATCCTTGGCCGGCAAAGATGAAATTTTGTCTACTCATAAAATCCTAAAACCAGACATACTAGTAAAGTGCTAGTCACAATATTGCCCTTTCACCATGTTGTGCAATGTATGTAGCAGCCCGAGGGCCTTTTTGCGTGATGCATTGAAAAATTCCAAAATATTCAAATGCCAATAATGCAAATACAAAATTTAATAAACTCTCAAAACAAATGCCATATTGACCGAAAGTAGATGCAAACTATACCAGTTGGACCAAACGGGCAAACATTGCAAAACATATCCCAGTAATACACATTTGTTTATTCACCTCATGCATGTTTATTGGGGCAACGAAATTACTCAGTCCGAGACATACATTCGCGCAGAACGTTATGTACTAAACCCTCCAGTAAAATTGCGTTGTCACGATGGAAAATACGTAGGAATACTTGGCGACTATTAATTTTACCATTGTCTTCATTTGTCTGGCCATGGACTACAACAATGACAGCATATTAACAAAACACCTAGTTGCGAAGGAATTGGCATGGCTATCGACAAGGGGTTTGACATTGTCAACCACACATCTCCCTGATGTGATGCTTAAATGTCAATGACTACGAACAGGTGATGAATAAATTGGAAATCAAAATTGTGAATATTACATTGACTGAATGCCTTGGGTTATACGATCAACATTATTATACGATTGAGATCTGACGATCAAGTTCAAACTGTTACCAACTGGTGAGCCGAAGTTAACAATAAAAGACACAGAATGATCGAACATTTTAATATTTATTTCATTTCCGTATCAACGCAAAACACATCATCGTATTTTCATCTCAACTTTAACGAATTTCCATAGTTGCATGCTTAGTAACTGGTAATACATACTCTAATGACAAGTAAACTACTACTTGTTACGCCCTGAGACCAGGTTATTGAACACGTTTAATTCAAGTTGTATTCCTTGTGAACATGTTTGTATACTTAGATGATTGTCAGAAATAAAACAATTTATTTATTTAATCTATGCAACTCTTCTAACAAATACTCATAAAAATAGTTAGCAATGTATCATAATTTCACACCTCCTGTAATATAAAATAATATAAGGATGTATCATACATAACAAATAAAAACAATATATTATTAGCGTTTACTGAAGTTATGATAATTGTTATACAGATTATAAATTGGAAATTATAATCTGTATTCAGTGCACTATAAACACGACTACTGCGGGTATGTTATTTCCCACACATTGACACACAATGCGAATATGTAATGTTTTATTACTTTAATATAATTCACAATGTGATATGATGCTTAATGTGAAATAGAAAGAGAGTGGCTTTCCAATTCCAAACAAATTCAACAATTCTTTCTAGAAACCCGTCTACGTTTGGGGTACTGTGTACACGTACGACAAGTATATAATTTCCTGGTGACATCATCTCGGATGTAGTATTGTATTATTTATGTTTTCTATTTTTCTACGATCTCTCAATTTATGCATATCTATCATTGAGACTAGACACTGTGTCCGAAACGTCCTGTTATATTGAATAATTACCATGAACAACAATTACCTACCTACCATTCTCTCTCTATATATATTATCGGACCCGGGAGCTTTCACTAAATTAAATGTAATAATGTTAATAATTATGACGCTTGATTACATTCACCCATTCTTTCATTTGATACAGCTGACATGTAAGTTTCACTGGAGTCTTTACTCAATCGGAAATAAGACTTTTACTGACCCACTTTTACTATTTTATATATATATTTTATATATATCATCACTAGACTTGACAGGAATCATGTGAGAAAACGACAGTTACCATAGAGAAGTTTTAACATCACTGTGTTACATAGTTTGTAGTTTGGTCCTGATTGCCAACCAAACGAAAAATGTTGACTAATAAGATATGTGACATGTTCACAAACTACAACTTCCAATCTCCACTTCCCTGCTTGATGCCTAGGGCGATAACAATTGCTGCGGGCACCCGGACGTGCTTCGAGGCGGGTAATAGTAAATACATCAACTCGCAATAATAACACACTATACGATGTTAATTGCTATAATATGATAATTTCAGACTCAATAAAACAGTTGCGCAACCATGCCAAATGAACATTTATTTTGTACATTCATGTCCAAATAAGAGTAAAAATTGTTACGATGCTCGAACAAATTTCGGCCGAGAAATTTCAAATACATGACCTTACGCGCACTACAGGATAGCTAAAATTAACATATGATTCGCAATCGTAAGTAGCTCAGTAAAATTACATTTATACTCTCTTTTTACTAGTCGTAATAAGTCATGTGAAAATAATTGTTACCAGCTGCCACGACTTATTTGTAATTCTGGATGATAGTTACTGCGTTTTGGTCTGTATTTACACATGAGTATGCTTTAATTAAAACCATACTAATATAATTGGGGAAACGCAAGAGCTTTTTTTCAAATGACTCCGTCAGACTGATTGACGAGGCATGCCACTATTCAGATCAGTTTAATAGTGCGGCAATAACGTTTACCTTCGAAAAAGCATTTGACATGGTCGGTTTGACGTATCTTTTTAGGGTTTAGGAAACATTTTCAGTTCGATCCACAGTTCCAGAAATGGGTAAAGTCTTCATATACTAATGTTGAATGCTGTGTTATGAACAACGGGTTCAGTACGGGGTATTGTGAAGTGGAAGTAAAGGGAGTAAGACAGGGCGATTCCCTGTCGACTTTGTTCTGGCGCTTTAAATCCTGTTGTTGGCTATTAGATCAACAATAAAAAATAGACGGAACCAATGTTTTCGTTAAATAAATAAAGGTAGCATCATAAGCAGATCTTGTTTCTTCTCAAATTGTGATTCTGCTAAGGAGCTATTTAATGCTGGGGAGTTCG